CAGACAAAATTAAAAGCATTTAATTGTGTGCTTCAGTGGAAGATATTTAAGGATGTACTTAACTTTCCCATTAAAGCAACAGAATTTACAAGTGCTTCATTCAATCATACTTAAGCTGGAAAGACGTTGAAATCTAGTCTCGAATGGGGAATGCTTTTCCCACCCCATGACTGGAATGGCCTAGTGGGAGCCACCATCACCTCTATAACATCACCACCACCGTCTTCCCTGAATGTCACTTAATTTTGCATTGCTGCTACAAGATGTGCCAAATAATAACTGAAATCATGTCCAAAGAACTTCAGTTTACCGAGGCACATGAGGTTTTGAGAGGTTATGTCATATTAAAATCAGCTTAGTTGCTGTTGCCTGTCTTGTGCGCCCCTTCCAATGAGCAACCCTTTCTTGGATGAAAAACAATTTCTTCTGAAATGGTACACATGCCATGTAGCATCTGGTATGTCTTTGGGGAAATATTTTGCCTGCTTTCTTCTATGGCGGATTCCTACACTACTGGAGTGTCATGAGAGTCTATTCCATGTGTAGGAACCACTGAGATGAGACCATTCATGTGGTTCATAAATTAAACCTGTGATCCTCCAGATGTTTTGGTCCACATGATCCCTCACTGTTGGCTATGTTAGTTTGGACTGATGGGGCTCTAAATACCTGGACGGCCAGAACTTGGTCATCCCAGCCTACTATGTCTCCTGCTTGCCTCATTTTGAGCCTGTTTTGCTCAAACCTCTCGGGTTATTGGCATGCTAGGCTGTCCCTTGTATGGAAGCAGACATTAGCAAAGTTTATATGTGCGGCTGGAAGTATAACCCCCACCCCAAACATACATGCATGCCCACCCTATGGAATATTGTCAGTAACTTTAGAGTAAATATTGAAATGTTATTTTAAATCATTAAAGGGTGCTTTATTTTATTGCCTTAATGCATTTTATGTTGTTTTAGGGTTTTGTGCATATAGGTTTTAATAACAAATACCATAAATGCTTCAAAAATCATTTGCGGTTGAGCACTCACTGGCTTCACTGCTGTGGTGGATGTTTAGACTCCAAGTCTTAGAAGATTGCTTCATTGCAACCACTTTTAATATGGCTCGATAAACAGTCAGTCTGGATGAAAAACAAGAACTCAAACAGGGTAATTTGAACCTGATCCTATTTAGGCCACCATTTTCACATACTTTCTTGTGAATAACTGGATTCAGAATTGTACCCTACCTATATTTACCAACTTAAGTATAGCAAAATAAGAATTTTTAAGGAAACTACCCTGCTGTTTTGTAGAAGCCATGCTGTGATAAACACATTGATGAGCAGTTTTTTCCAAAATTTAACTCTAGCCTTGAAAAAATCCTTTTATCTGTCCTGAATCTACCATCAAATTTATAGGATGACCCTGAGGAACTACTATTTTCAGAAAGGAAAAAAAATGTCTTCCTTTCCACTTTTCCTCACTGTACTTAGTTTGTACACTGTTCTCACATCTCTCCCTATACATTTTTTTCTAAGCTAAACAAGAGGAATTGCTGCAGCCTTTTAATCAGTTTGGTTGCTTCTTTCTGAACTTTTCCTAACTCTGCTCTATGTGGTGACAAGATCTGTACACAGTACTCCAAGTATGATCACACCATAGATTTTTGTGACAGCAACAAGATGTGGGCCATTTTAATTTCAGCTACTTCCCTAATTATGTCTAACATGGTTTTGCACAGCTGCTGCACGCGGGATTGACATTCTCATCAAGCTGCTCATCACAACCTCAATACTTCTTTCCAGTGATGTGTTTAAATCCTTTGCTCCAAGTCTCGAGTCAGGTGTCAAGTTGTTAAATCCAAGCTGATGATCAAGACATTGCAAGGAATTTTCAAGTCAAGTCTTCCCCTGGCCCCTTCCCGCTGGCCCCTCCCTCCCACCACCTCCCTTGTGTCAACAAGAAGAGCTGAAGTCTTGGCTTCCTTCCCCCTATCGCAACGCCCCTTCCTGTCCGTCCCCTTGAAACTCTTCCCCTTCCACTGCCTCTTCTGTGCTCACGTCTGCCTTCCAACCTGTTGCAGAAACCTTTCATTTTCCCCAGGATGTCCTGCCATGCGTCAGGTGCAGGCAGGAAGCCCTGGAGTGAATCAGTGGTGAAATTAGCGGAAATCTCGAGCCAAGTCACTCGCTCGTTGCTCCCAAGTCAAGTCTGAGTTGAGTCACTGACGCAACTTGAGTCGGACTTAGGAAGTGAACTCGAGTTCCCACCACTCCTGCTTTCTTGGTTAATCAGTGGTCACTCAGATCCTACCCATTTATATTTTATTGGATTTGTTGCCCCATGTGGATTGTTTTACACATGTGTGCATGGAACCGAACTATGTTTGGTATTTTAATGCCCAGCCTCCCAGTTTGGAAAGGGTTATGGAGTTCCTCACAGTTTCTGTTGGTTTTAACCACCCTAAAGAATGTGGTGTCATCAGCAAAACTGACCACATCACTGCTTATTCCTAATTCCAGATCATTTACGGGTGAGTTCAAAGCAATGGTCCCAGTGTGGATTGCTGTGGGGCTTCACTGTACCTCTGTGCCCCTCCACTGTGCTTTCTATTACTGATCCATGATGTTAAGTTTCTTCAGTAGTCACCGGTGAGGGGCTTTTCTAAGCCTGTATGAAAGTCCAAATAATACCTACGGGGCTTTCCTTTGTGGAAAATTTTCAGCAGGGCTTGTCCTTCTATTTGCATATTAATTTTATTTATAATAAAGTTTTTGACCAATATGCCTGGAACTTCCTTAACTTCACTGTCATTCTGTGGTCCAACTACTTTCCTTGGTAGTTTCCTACTTCTATTTAAAGAAATCTTTATTGTTGGCCTTCATATAATTATTGATATGCTTTTTTCCATCTCTTATTGTACTTCTGCTTCCTCCTTTGGGAAAGACTTTTCTGGAGAAAAACTTTTCTCTAATATATCCGTTGACCTTGCTCAATAGTCACACAGGTGATATCGTGGGCATGGCTGAGCTTCAGTCACCTGGTGTCCTTCCTCAGGTGTCTCTGGTATGCACATCCTCGGCTATGGCACTCTGGCCTCTTTGGTTGGCTCTCATGCTTCACCAGATGTTCATGGCCTATTTCCCCTCTTCTACATTTGGGAGATGGGAAATATTTTCATCCCCTAAGGATGACTTAATTGAACTCCCCAGCTTCCCAGTTGGCTTTCTTCCAGGGCTCAGTTTAAAAGCTGCCTTGCTACTTTGGGAGATTTAAGCGTATGACTCTCTGCAGGTGCAAAACTGGCAGCTCTTGTGTCATATGTAGCCACAGGTGATGTGCAGGTTCACAGTGGAAGGAAACTGGAGAAGATCTGCAGGATTCTTGCAGCTCCGTGAAAAAGTAAGGTGGAGCAGGGAACTTGTGCCAACGTGCTGTCTTGTCCTTTCCTCCACAGATGGTAGCCAGATGATTTAGAAAGGGAGGATAAATCCAGAAAGGAGTTCTAGTTTTTCTTTCATTTCTTCTTTCTTTTCTAGCCCACACACAGGCACACAAGAAAAAAACAGCAGTATCATATTTATTCTCACTCCTACCAAATATAATGCATATGTTTTAGGCATGGAAACATATAGAAAGAACCTAAGGGCAGAAGAAACAGCAGCATTTTGAAGCTCTGCTTTTAAAAGGAGAGTCCAAAATAGATAGGAAAAATTCTTTCTGCTAATCAAATAGTGTCTGAAATATGTCAGGAATATGTCAGTTTAGGTGGTAGACAGAAACACAGCAGGATAGTACTTGTACCAGATGCCAGCTGCACTTCTTTTTAATCTTCTTTGGTCTGTCTTCTGCCGTTCCGCCCCCCCCCCCACTTCCTCCTGTTTTAGTTCTTGAACATTTTGTGTCATTGATGCAGCACTATGAATATGGAGCAGGGAAAAGATAAAATTGCAATTTAAGCAAGAGCTGGGAAGATTATTAGTTGGCCAGTTTGCTCAGAAAAGCTGCAGCCTGGCCTTTTGCCTTCAACATTGGTTTTATCTACAGATATCAGAAGCTTTTTGTGACGTGGAGCTAGCACACCACCTCCTGATATCTCCTAAAGACCCCTGTTAAAGGCCAAGAAGCAAGGACCAGTACCAAACCCTCCTTGGTAGCCTTGAGTCCTCAACTAGGAGGGTGGACCTTCAGTTGTCTTCCCCGGTCGGGCCATCTTCTGAGGCTGCGTTCCAGATCAAGCACAGACCACATGCTTTGCCTGTGCAAGTGCCCAAGGCCAAGAGCTGGGACAGGCCCTTGTGCAGAACGCTGAAGGACCAGGGTCCTTCAGATAATACTGACCAAGAGATACCAATTATCTTGACCATGCAGGAACGTATCAATAAATAAGAACAGATTCATGGCTTGGCTCCATTTAAGATAACTACTTAAGCAAGAGTAACCCCCTGGCTGCTACGGGTCAAGCTGCTTATTTTGTTTGTTTGTTTGTGATATTTCTAACTCTGTGTCTCTGGACGGCTTACAACAGATTCAATAAATACAACAATATAAATATCATAGATACCCCAAACAATAATAAAACTGAATATCTCATGACTAAAGTAAAAGATAATTAAAATCTATTAAACATTAAAATATTGGGTGAATAAAAAGGTCTTGACCTGGCGCCGGAAAGCATATAATGACAGCACCAGGCGGACCTCTCTAGGGAGCGCATTCCATAACTGGGGAGTCACTGCAGAGAAAGCCCTCCTCCAGGTATTCTATCTCCTAACCGCCTTCACGCAGGGTTCCCAGAGCAAGGCCTCTGCAGATCTTAAGGGGTGGGATGGCATGTTAAGAAAAAGACGTTCCTTTAGGTCCCAAGCCATTTTGGGCTTTATTGGACATAACCAGCAGCTTAAATTGGGCCCGGACTTCAATGGGAAGCCAGTGGAGCTGGTAGAGAACCAGCATTATATGAGAATAATGGCTGGTCCCTGACAGCATGCTGGCAGCTCTATTTTACACCAGTTGAAGTATCCAGACTATCTTCAAGGGCAGCCCCATGTACAGCATGTTACAATAGTCCAACCGGGAGGTTACTAGAGTGTGTGGTCTTAGGAAGGATGGCAAGGTGAGGGCCCTACTTTCCTCCTTAGAATATCATCATCATCAACCACAATGCTGCATCAGAGTTGTGTATGCCAGTGCCAACATTTAGAACTCGAGTACAGGAGCATCCCATTCCATGTTTAAGCCTCTAATTCAAGGGAGATTGTATCAATACCTGGAATTGTCTGAAGTCGCAGCAGACCTAGGTAAGCCCCACCTGCCCTTTGAGAGCTCTTTTTCTTTGTGTTGTTTTGATTGTCTGCAGAGCAAAGGTAGGTTCAGAGCAACACTAAAGCAACAGAGACAGAAATATGGTTTTTATCTTCAGGCAAGTGGTGAAACACGGACATTTTCAGAGGATTCCAGGCAAGATCCAGCTACAAGATTAGAATGATACCTCTGCATTGCCTGTGTCATGGTTGCTAGTTCAGATGGAGAGCTTAACCAAGGCTCTGCTTGGCTCTGGATCAAAAAAGATCCCTATAGTACTTACTTTCCCAGGGATTATGGTAATAACTGAGGAGCTTGAGCTAAGCCATTCCCTGTGTATATAAAAAGATCCCCTCCAGTTCTAGTTGCTGTGTATAAGACTTAACGAGGATAAATACCATCCGGTGGAGAGTTCTGATTGGGCAACAGCAGGGCTGCTCCCTGAGGTCTGTTGCAAAACCAGAATGTTCCCCTACTACCGCTTGGTCTCTGGCTTTGTCAGAGATGCAAGTGCTGCCAATTGGAGCAATAAAGAGTTCAGTTTCTAAAATACTTGGAAAATGATACTGACTTTTGGGTACATGGGGTCATTGTTCTTATTAAGTGTGATCCTGCCTCAGAACCACACAGCTGTCCCTGCATTTCACAGCCACCATTTCTTTCCCTTTCTGCTAGAGGCATTGGTATGATATCTATCTAACTCTGGAAATGTGGTGACGGTGCTGACAGAATTGTCATCTAAGCACCTGTGAAAGGGCACCTGTGAAAAGAATGGGTGGTTTCAGATTTGAGTAACACAATGAGTAATGACTTCTGGGCTGGCCTGAACCAGACATGAGAAGCTTTCTCGTGTCAAATTATACCATTTTTAAATATAGACTAGTCTTGTCTGCTCTCACTGAGTGAGCAGCTTTCCTGGGTTTCAGACAGAGGTTTTCCTGCCATCTTCTACCCAATCTTTTTTACTTCTGCATTGAAGGGGCTCCATCAGTGAGTCAAGGCTCAGATCATGCTTCTAGGCTTCTTCAGACCCATTGCTGAAGCCAGGCTCCTCGCTCAAAAGGCTGGAAGAGAGTTCTCTCCCAAAGCATAAAAGAGGAAAACCTCATATCCATACAGAGGTGGTCTGAAGGGATGGCCCACCAGGCTTGTGCCCTGGATCTTTTCTTTGGCTCACCAGTTCTGTGTTCCACCATGCTGCAGAAGCTCAAAGCAGTCACCACAAAACCTCACACAATTTGTGTTAAAGCTAGCAGGGGTGAGCAGTCATTTATAGCCCATCCTGTGGCTTTTCCAGCTGAGTTCCAGGATTGCAGTCCTTCTAATCCCTTCAAGCACCTACAGGTCCTGCAGGTAGTTGCAAGGTAGACCAGGCTGCCTCCTCTGTCAAGCCAGCAGGGGGAGCCAGGCTGCTGCATGGATCCTGACCGCAAACTGCCCAATGCCCTTGCAAATGATTCACCCTCTTTTTTCCCCGTTGGCCATGTTAGCCCCTCTCTTCTACCCCAGACTGATTAAGTCAACCTTAGTCCCATGTTTATCGATGTTCCAGATGTTTCTGCTTACAACTTCCTTCAGCTCAGGCCAGCATGGCCAATGGTGAGGAATGATGGGAGTCGTAGGCTAAAACAGCTGGAAGACCATCATTGGTCACCCCTGGTTTACTGGCTCTGTGACTGTCACCTGTCAACACATCGATTTTGTGAAACTTAGCTATTTCTCTGCCTACAGCAGAAGGCATGTGTCTCACCTGACTCAAGTGGTGCTCACAAAGGGGGATTCTCCCCCTTTTTCCCTTTGCATGGCGTGCAAAGCTGACAGCACACCTAACAATGCCTTCTAGCAGCAAGTGGCCGCAGAGGCACAGGCGCATTTCTAAAGCAGCCATAGCACTTTTCCATATTCCGGCTCATCAGAAAGCAGTTAAAGGACGATACCGATGCTTGACACCTTCATCTTAAAGTATACGAAAAGGGAGGTCCCAAATAGATGGCTCACCCTTTAGTCGCCCAGATTATCTGACATTCTAATGATCTTGCTTTCTTATTGGCATCATGACCTTGTGACCTCCTGATTGCAACTCCTGTTGACTGGGGCTGATGGGAGTGGAAGTCCAAACTGTCTAGAGAACATCAGGTTAGGGAAGGCTGACAAAAAGAAGTAACCATATTGGAGTAGTGCGATGCAATGGATGGAGCATTTGCCAGAAATGTTGAATGTCCACCCTCAATTCACTTCCTAGCCATGAAGTTTAAGTAGTGGCACATGGTTTTTTGAAGCCTGTGTATGAGCAGAGGGCAAACAGCAGGGCAGTTTGTTTCCGTTCTTCCTGTGAGTACCCTGCACACCAGGTCATCTCAGGAAGAATGAGCATTTGGAAGCTCCTATGAATAGAAAGGAAAGTCTCATTTTAATTGAATTGCTGGAACTGAAGGTTATAATGAATATATTTGGGCCTCTGTGTGGATAGGATTTCAGCCCAATACTTTATTTCAGCCTAACAAATGTTATTGGGTGAGACTCACTAAGTCCATGTACTTTGTAATATTGGTGGGAGCCAAAGTAATAGCAATATTGGGAGTGTTGGCATTTGATTAATGGCATTGATGCTGAGAAGGTGAGAAGAGGAACCATAGCTCTTACTTCCTCCAAACAGGAAATGTTGTGGAAGACAAATCAGTTCTTCTATTGCTTATGGGAGACAATTCTTAACAAAATTGTAAATTTTATGGGAGGGAGGGAGATCACATCACAAGTGAGACAGTTGATTTTATAACACAGATTAACCTCAGCCAGTTTGCAACTTGCAGTCAAAAATATCTGGAGGGACTTGTATTAGGCAAGGCTAGCCTTGAAAAAAGACAGGCATTGATGTTAAAGATTAAGCTTCAAGGACCAAACATCAGGATTGACAATTCTGATAGGAGTGGAAAAGCAAAATGGAAGTTTTTCACAAGTTTCAAAGGTAGGAAGTGAGTACCAGAAGGCACCAAGGATTGGCAACTGGTAACAAAAACTGCTTGGATGCAAAACGATCTCGGTGGAGGAAGAATAGGATGCCAAATCATTCGGGCTAACAACAAATGCAGGCAGTGAATGCTCATGGGACTGGAGGTACAACGGGGCCACTGAGAAACGAGAAATACCAGCACCTGGATTAGCAACACCTCCGGATCAGCAATCCCACAGTGGCTTTCATCTCAGAATAAAACTGTCCAGTTTTAGCAGACATATTCTAAAAATTGGTTGATCAGAACATACAGTTTACTCCTTTATCACAGGTATGAACAGCACTTTGGACATGGGGGCGCTGCGTTGTTTTCTGCAACAAATCCTAACTAAAGTCAACAAGAGTCTGACTGCTGACTTAAGAGGCAAAATCAGTTGAATTGGATTATGGTCCAAATTTGCATGAGGCAAACTAAATGTGAATTCTTGTAAAGACCCCATAAGGCCTTAGCATGTCTCCAAGAAAGTATGCAGGCTTTTGGACCCTAGGAAAGTTTGCTATACTACCTGTTGAAACTTAATCTCCTTGTCATTCTTCCAGTAATGCCTAGCTAATCAAGAGGGTTGTCTAACTTCCATATAAGCTACCCTCACCAAATTCACATGATACAATAAGCCACAGTGGCTATCCATCAGAGCCTGAATATACAAAACAGTGCACAGTATATTCCACTGTGGCATAATTTCAATTTTCCCAGTCTCTTAGGTTGCAAAATCAGGAGAAGGCCCTTTCACAGTTCAGTCAGCTCCTTTGGGAAAGGCATTGCTAACTATATTACAGGTATTACCTACCTATATAAGGGTTCAGATGGCTTCAACTTCCAGCTGAGACAACATCCTTCTGTTGTCATAGCAGGATAGAGTTCGAGCACCTTAAAGCTAGCTCTGGGGTCCTATTTTATTCTTGCCTTATTCTGACTACCATCAGATGCTGGCAGTAGTTCAACACATCTGGAGAGCACCAATTTAGGGGAAGACCGGTTCAGAGAGACTGAAGATAAACCAAAAGCTTACACTCTCCTTCTCCTCAGTTCTCTCATTCCCCTTTGAACTAGGCTTTACTTACACTTAACTGTTTAAGAATAGACAAATGGGAGTCTGCCCTTGCCTTCCAGACCAGAGTTGGGAACCCAGCAGTTGGAAGACCATATGAACAGTCTTCTGCAGCAGGGTTACTTCAGATGCCTCCTTATGGAATAGTCTCAATGGGACTGCTTTATCCTTTTATCAGAAGTTCCCAGCAGGAAATGTTGAGAGGCCTGTGAAAACATCCAAGTTTGCTCCTCTCAAGAGCTGGGATTGGTTCTTGTTGCATGTTCACCCAATAGCACCCACTTCATGCCAGAACAGGCATTAGAATGATTTGAAAAGCTTTTGTTTCTGTATAGACTTACCGCAGCTTGCCATGTCATCTGAACCCAGGCAAATGGTGGTTAATCTTAACTATGGTTAGTAAAACCAAGCCACAGCTTGTGAAATTGGCTTTTTTCACTAAGCATAATTGAGCTTAAGCAACTAGTTAAGCTTAGTAGAATTCAGAAGTAATACTAAACTGTAAACTAGAACAGAATCAGATGTTTCTAATTACCTTCTTGAGCTGCACTGGAGGACCTGCACTTCATTTGGTGTTTTTGGAAACAGTGCACACAGCTTGTGGTGTCTTCTCTTGATAATGCAAAGCCACAGTTTAGTGTTATCTGTGTAATGAAGGATTAGATGAAACAGCAAATATTCACTTCTGTTTATACGTACAGGTATGTTCCTACAATCATCTGGACACACAAAGAACCATGTATTGTTGCTCCTTAAAGGCTATTGGATTCGTTGTGTTTTATGGAAAAGAGATCACCTTGTCTTTGGGCTGTAAAATTCTGTACCTGTTACCTCTGTGGAGTAAATCCAGATTAACAAAGTCATTGCTATGAGGCTTATTGGCTGGATTTCTTTTGAAAGTTCTTTGGAACTTTGTTATTGATCACCTCAGTGAGTTTAGTGTGGACAAACATTAGTTTTGCCTTCACCTCAGAAGATTCCTGTTTTCTGGATCCCAGCTCTTTTCATGCTAAAAATTTAAGGGATGGAGAGATAAACAATGTGGGCATGGCACAGTTTTGTTGGACTATACCACTTCCAACTGCTGATGGGAGAACTGCATGTTTGAAAACTTATAATGAACTCCCTGAATAGTGGAAAACATAGCAAGGAACATAAGCAACAAACATGGTAAGGAAGAAAAGCATAGTTAGGAAAATGAGTAAGTTAGATCTTTATCCTTGACACAGTAGTTATCCAAGGACATATTAAGCTAGTTTGTATAAGATATGGAGTAACGTTCTGTCCATTTGTAGTCTGGGGTGATCTAGCCCAATTGAACTTGCAAGTCTGTTCATGTTGCTTGAATCCAAGATAGAACATTTTTGGGTGCTCCAGGTACTGGTGGGTCTTTCTATGCATTCAGTTATGACACATGAAACTGCATGCTTATTTCTACGTACTTTGCACGCCATCTAAGCATCGCTCCTCAAGCTTGTACTTCTCTTTCTGTGTGCAAAGACTCAAACGCAATATTCACTATGTGTAGTGAACTATCTGATGCAAGGAACGTATATTGCCATTAGGCCATTGGTCCTTGGGAGCTAATGTTCGCTCGTGTAGTTCATGCTTCAAGCCTAGGACAGCATGGCTGCTCTTTTCTCTGGCATCCTGGCTGCAGCATGAGCTGTATTTGCAAAGAAGGATTTCCCAACAGGAATTGCAGCACTCAGCACTTACCAATTTCCCAAGCCTTGTGCAAACATCAACAAACTAATCACTAGTGAATTATTACCTATTCACCTCTGTTCTTCTGGGATTGGAGAATGCGAATTTTCTTCTCATTTTACTTGCCAATAAACATTTGGATGCCAGCATTTATTCTGCTGCAAACTCTCATGACAGAGTTGCCAAAACACTTGAATTTGCCATATGAAACTTGGCCCCAATTCAGGCTATTGGTTCTCTATTGTCTGTCTTCAAAATTTACCTTGTGCGCCACAAGCCTTTCTGCTACCTTTTTAGCAGAAATCTTGATTGGGTCTATAAGCAACACTTATCCTGCTCTGGATTGGATCCCCTGTGCCTACTGTAGATAAAACTGATGAAAGGCTATTTATACATCAAGAAAGAATAGAATTTGTATCACCAAAAAAAGAGGATAAAAATATTGATACATTGATTTGTAGCAAATGTGCACATGCTAATTTGTATGTCTAGATGCTGATTTAGTTATTACTAGAAGTTAGAAGCACAATGCATTTGTCTAATTATTATGGAAAATACTTCATGGCTTCATACACTACCTCCTTCCTCTTTAATAGGCTTGGAGTAAGAGTCCTTTCAAATAGAGCACTGTCCTACATAAAGTTGAACACATGGCCATCCTACCAGGCAGGATATTTTTCCCAGCTCTTCTTGTAGATGCCTGGGACCAAATCTTGGATCTTCTGCAAGAAGAACATAGGCTCCGCCTCTGAGCTACACCTTTCCCCATTTTTTGTGCTTGCTGGCTTATTCTGTCTCTTCCCATTCTTTGCATGTGCTAACTTTGGGCCTTTGACTTTCTGCCTTTGTTGACCTCTGTTTTCTGTCCTGCCAAATCTAAAAGGCACTAAGGAAATCCATTATAGCTGCCCTGGGAGGTGGAGTACCCAAATGCAGAGAAGTCATTTAAAATTAATTAATCAATCAATTAATATTTTTCTTGAGTTTCCTATATTACTATATAGAAATATAAAGATCTGAGCTTCTGCATGCACCATATATCAGACTGTTTTACAAGACCAAGAGGAACCATGAAGCAGGAAAGTGGGAGGCAATCGCCCAGCCCTTATAAAGCCATGGCAGAGGCATCAGATGTTTGAAATCTGATGCCTGTTTAGACAGAAAAAAGACCTATAATTCCTAGCATGCTGGCTATGTAGTGCTGGGGGTTGTTGGGCATTTTTCTCTATCTGAACAGGCATAGGTTTATGCCCTTAGCAACTCTTGAAGGGAAAATAGACATGCATACTTCAGAGAGGAAGCTTAATTGCCCATTGTGCCATGCTTCTTAAAGTCTGAAAAGGCTGGAAAGAAAACATCTTCTCAAAGCAATAGGGTGCATTTTGCAGTACTGTTAATGATCAGAGGTTTACAAATGAAGTAGCTTTTAGCACAATATGCGGCAGACGAATAACTGTCTTGCACAGGAATGCTTTTTTTCTCCCTCATGGCAGATCCTTCCCTGCTTGTTTTCTTTTTCCCTAAGTGATAGCAACTAAGTTTTTTATATTCTCTTTCTGCTGATGTCTTGCAGGTATTCAGCCATTAAAAATGTTTTAACAGGGAATGTCATTAACCCTGCTGTTGAAATCAAGCATAACTGTGCACCCCCTTCTTTTCTGTAGTGCAGTGAATGAATACAGAGTTTGGGGCACAACATAGTACAGGGCTCATCTCGTACCTTGAATGCTGAGGCATTTTCAGGTTGGAATAGATGCACAGGGCATGTTGTCACAGTTATTCTAGTGTCGAGGGCTGCTGTGATTCACTCATGGACAAGGGAATGGTCTTTTGGTGGAGCAGCCCCGCAGGTGGGAAGGTGGGGCGTCCAAATGGGGATGGAACAAATGCAGCAGGAGTGCCTTTATGGGTTCTCTTTATAAAAGCATTTACTTGGTTGCAGTGGGAGGGAAATGATGGGCATTTGCTCCATTTCTAGGCCAAGTCAGGCGAATGGAAAAGCAATGGATTCTGAGGTTATAAACCTTTGCCCAATTCACATGGGGAGGGTGATGGCTTTTGCTACTGCCCGTGTCAAGCAGCAAAAGTCATGGATGTTTCTGCAGCATCTGGAAAGCGAGTTGTAACAGCAGAATTCTTTCAGTGAGGTTGGACCTCTTTCTGCCCCGGAGAGGAAGAGCTGAAACCTTGCATGAGCCGGAGGTTTGCAACCTCGCTCTTCTTAACCACCAATTGCAATATGGGGATCTGTGCACATAACACACCTGGAACATCAGGCCTGATGAGTGGCAGATGCTGCTGTGCCATGAGTGAAGCCAAGCCAAGGGGGTGTACCTCCAACACCTTTTCAGCAGGGACTCTCATGACTTCTTCCAGGATTCCCTCTGATCTCAGCTGTTCCATCTGATCTCAGCTGAAATCCTTAAAGCACCTGAGCGGAAATGGACTTTGTTGTAATGGAAAGTATTTTTAGATGGCTGCATCTTGAATGTGCAATTAAGCCCCATTAACGTTAGGAAAGATCTGCTGCTGGTGGAAACTAGAACTGCTAGAACTGTAGATCAACAAAGTTGCCTGCATTTTGGGCTGGCCCTCATGATGTGCTCCTGGGGACTGTCATGATGAGCCTTTGCCCTTCAACATTTGCCACGAAACCACTGCTGGCAAGCTAGAAGAAGAGTGTGTCTTATGAGTGTGCTCCAGGATGGACTGTAAATTCACAGCTGCCAAGGGATGTGATTGCTCCGGCAGGCGTATTGGCTGGCTCCCTATTTTCTGCCTCTGTATGAATCTGCAATGGGAACGGAGGCTTGACATCAGCTACCGGAGCCCAGTCTCATGACTTGTGCTCCTGCATGGATGGCTTTAGCACCCTTTAGCAGCATGTCTGCATCGTTTACTATATGGACTTTTAGAACGGGGACGTAAGTGGGTCTACTTCAGCTAAAACCTGGGTTGTGTTTATCACGTTATCATGCATGCATATATAGCTGTGAAGAAAGTAGCACAGTGACTGAGAAACAGAGAAGCCAATAACCAAGTCATGAAGCCTTTCTGAAGGAATGCGGGGGAGAGAAAAGATAATTGGCTTGAAAAGAAAGTGTGCTACTTCCTATCTCATCCTCCCAGTAGTTTTATGAGACGGGGTCGTAGGGCAAGTGAAATTAGAGAGGAGTGAACTTGTAGTTATAAGCAGGCAGGCATAATAGGTTGATGAATATTAACTCACACACCTTGAATAGACAAATGGTCTAATTACAATGCACAGGTGAAAATGTAGATGTATGTAGTGGAATTGTATGGAAATATATGAAGTAGGTGGACGGAAAGATTGTAACCCCTTAGTACTTCGGCCTGTGAGGGAATTGGGGAGGGCTATGGTGGCAAGTTGAGGTATAAAAGGAGCTGCTTTTCTGTTTGTACTTTGGAGAGATTCCAACAGACTGGGCTCCCCCTCCCTCCCCGTCTATTGCAATAAACAAAGGAAACGCCTCACTCTGTTGGTAGTCTTGGTTATTTAACTAGGGGAGGCGTATTTTCACAGCTTTTTATATAAGAGCTGGATCCAAATTCTTCCTTAGAGTAGACTGGTTGAAATCAGTGGAGCTTAAGTGAGATATGATACGTTTACATCCCATTGATTTCAGTAGGTCTACTGTAAACAGGACTTTAACTCTGAATCACAATCAGTTTAAGTCCCATTCCTTTCTATGGGCCTAGGTTTAAGTATTTAAGTACCCTTTGTTAAATGACTTGTTTTCTTCAGAGTTATTATTGTACTAGTATATTTATATCCTGCTTTTCTTCCTTTTGCTCAAAACCCAAGGCAGCTTACATATTTATTTTATTTATTTATTAAAACATTTTTATGCCGCCCCATTCGCCGAAGCCTCGGGGCAGCTTACAACATAGATAAAACATATCTCCTCTGTTCTATTTTATCTTCACAACAACCCTGTGAGGTAGGTTAAGGCTGAGAATCAGTGACTGGTCCACAGTCATCCACTGAGCTTCATGGCTGAATAGGGACTAGAACCTGGATCTCTCAAATTCCAGTCAAACACTCTAACTGCTACACCATGCTTGTAAAGTGAAATTTTATGAAGGTTGCAGCTCTTTTAACCTTTAACAGAGAGAACACTGAGAGCCAGATGTGCGGTTCATACATGCCAGCAAGTAAAGATCAAACTTTTCCCAACTAATTACAGAAAAGTAATTGTGTGGGTGGGGGGAGGCAACCCCTAGAGCAGGTGAATTGCATGAGAAGGGGAAAACCTTCCTCCTCATGCTGGTGTCCTGCAGATGTGCTTGTCTCCAACTCCTTTCATCCAAATGCAGCCCAGTCAATGGTCAGGAATGCTGGAATTTGGCATTTAGAAACATCTGGAGAGCACCAGGTTGTGCCAGGCTGCAGCAGTGGGCAGAAGACAGACTCCAGATGTTTCAGGCAGGGTATCTCCCAGCATTCCTCCAAATTGGCCATGATGGTATGGGCTGAAGGCCAACATATCTGGGAGCTGAGCTGAAGCCCAAAATATCTGTAGGCCTATTTTCTGACCCTGGTTTTGATACCAGTGTTTATATTTTACAGACAGATAGGTGAAAGGCAATCATACTATATTAAGAGCCCACAGAAACTGCTTATTTACTGCATATTCAGTGGTATTGGCATTTTACGGTTGGTTACATTCTCCTGGGAAGGATGAAACAGAGAGCTAAGCTATGCTGGAGAGAAAAGCAGTGGTTAGGGACTGAGGGAAGTCACATCTGCATCAGAGATTTGGGTAGCTCCTCACTGCTAGGCACCACGGAAGCTATGCATATACTACAGAAATTGCAGTATAGCCAATTTTACATTAGTGGGTTCTCTGGTTTTAGAGGTTCTTTCTTTATTTATTTAAAACATTTTTATGCCGCCCCCATCGCAACAAAGCCTCGGGGCGGCTCACAACAAAAACAAAATATACAAATATAACAATTATACAACAAAAATATTAAAACCCAGTGCATCTCGGCTTAAAAGATTGAAAATCCTATAAATACCAATAAATTAACACTTAAAATAAGTTTTAAATAAAAAGGCCTTGGCCTGGCGCCGAAAAACAAATAGCGACGGCGCCAGGCGGACCTCTCTGGGGAGCGCATTCCATAACTTAGGCGCCACCGCAGAGAAAGCCCTCCTCCGAGTACCCACCCTCCTAATTTCTTTCACGGAGGGTTCCTGGAGAAGGGCCTCTCCCGCAGATCTCAAGGGGCGGCCGGGCATATATGGATGTAAGCGCTCCTTCAGTATCTGGCCTTCTAAAGAGCAGTTGATTTCCTTTAAGATTGACTGGTTTGATCTCTTTTCAGTAGGAGAACTTAGCTCAAATTGAACCATGGGTGCAAAGGACCACTTCACCCATTGCAAATTTCCTTCATCAAAGTAATTTCACATGCCGCAAGTGCAACCACCCTTAGCTCAGCCATGGTGTCCGGAGTCTTCAGGGAGGGGAAAATGGAGAGAAGGGAGGGGACTGCAACCCCTGAACATCTTTTTTCCAGTAAAAGTGGTGTTGTGCTTCCACAGCAATGCATTTGGGAAGCTCCCCACCCAGGTGAAAGCGTTTTAAGTGCTTTGTTGCATAATGCAGGAGAGGAAAAAACAGTGTATATTTATTAAAATATTGATTAAATAAAAAGGTCTTGGCCTGGCACCGAAAAACAAATAACGACGGCGCCAGGCGGACCTCTCTGGGGAGCGCATTCCATAGGTGGGGCACCACCGCAGAGAAGGCCCTCCTCCTGGTGCTCATCCTCCTAATGTCCCTCACGGAGGGCAATGGTAAGTCCCCCTCTGCAGGAAGTATCAGGCTATATCATACATACAGCATCAACCTGGCAAAAGCGAGGTTCCAGATTATGCATGCTGCTAAAATACGATTAAAGTTCCATTTGCACAACTCCTTGCAAAAGAGGTGGCACAACCATATTCAGGAATGGGCCATGAGTTCCACTAGTGCACACTCTACTAAACCAGTACACAAGCATTACACTGCTGAAAGATTCTGTGGAGCTCTACTCTATTTATTTATTAGATTTCTATCCTCTCTTTTTATTTTTTAAACAACTCAAATCAACTTACAACATTCCCTTCCTCCTGCTCTCCATCTTATCCCCACAACAACAACCCTGTGAGGTAGGTTGGGCTGAGAGTCGGTGACTGGCTGAAAGTCACCCAGTTGTCTCAGTGGCTGAGCAGGGACTGGAACCCGGATCACCTAAATCCTGCTCCTGTGCTCTTAACCACTGCACCAAAGCTGGAGACTGTGCAGAAGTGCCATGCACCAGTAGTGAACATGAATAGCACTTTGAAGTTGATTGCTTCTTGTTTCCAGAAAATTAACTGTTTGGAGCAGCAACTAACAACTTTGTGCTGTGAATAAACAGTCGTTTATTCCATTCAACTTCTCCAGGCACAGTTGGAGGGAGAACAGAAAAGGAAGTAATATATTTAGAAAGTCTGTATCCAATCCTCAGTGCCCAAAACTGGGAGATTTACTTTGATTTGAGACTGATATGGAAAAAATATTCTTCTGCAAGTGGGATCTGCAACACAAGACTGCGGCATGGAATGCTCCTGTTTAGGATTGCAGCTATTCTACTTCTCGGTTTCTAAAAATGTCCATTATCATTCCATGTTCTCTGAGCATGCTAAGTTCTCATTGAGCTATTTGGTGAGGAGTTGCCCTCTGTTTAGGTTTTTTCCCCCCTGAAATAATTTTGCTTTGGTTCTCCAAGTCTGCTGACACTTCTCCCATGTGCATGGACGGTCCCATTTTTGCTGCTCATGCAGCCTGAATGTCAGAATTAAAGGGAATAAACTCAACATTATTTGCTTTTCATCATCTTCTCCTGTCTCATATCAGATTGTTAAATTGGCGCACTGGTGAAGGGGATACTGTTTCGAACTTCTGAAGTCTGATTGGCTGGTAACTCTTGCAAATTGTTTCGGAGGCTGGATTGACAGGCTATTAGAAGTGGGTGTTAGGTACTTGAAAATGCTACCGGTTTTGACAGCTGATGAGACAATTATGGGTTAGCATGACAGACAGTATCTTCTTAGAGCCACTTCAGAGATTGTTTTTTTTTAAATTCCCAGATGTCCATGGCACTTGGAATGATGTTAATATCTTTACTGGGGACTGGGTGGCTTGCCAGAGGATGCTTCAGGAATTACGTTTTGGAATGAAAAAAACCTACACATTTTTCATTCCAACCTGAACTTAACATGAATCTTAAGAAAGAATTCCAAATATGGCATCATTATCATTGTAGACATTTGTGTTTGTTTGAAATATACCTACCTTTCTTTCTTAATGCCCAAGAGTGCCTTAAAGGGTAGTGGCCTTTTTGTATTATTGTTATATTGATGTTTTAATCTTTTAATTGTTTTTAATAGATGTCAGCATGTTATTATTCATATATATGATTGATGTTTTAATGAGTTTAATATGTGGTTGTAAGCCATCCAGGAAGGCCTTCTGGCAGTTATAGACCGCATGTAAATACAGTGGTACCTCAGCTCATGAACGCCTCAGTTCATGACCAAATCAGGTCACAAACTGAAATTTAGGAAATGTTTTTCCTCAGGTCGTGAACTCTGCATCAGGCAACGATTGCAGGTGTGTTTGGCAGGGGGAGACGGGCATGATCACAGTTGTGCTGGGGGGGGGGGGGGGGGCGGGGTTTTCCCCCCCTCTTCCCCCCCCCCCCGAGCCCTTATTTACATTGAACCTTATGGGAAAATTTGACTTGGCTCATGATCAATTTGGGTTGCGAACAGAGTCATGGAATGGATTAAGTTCGTTAGCCAAGGTACCGCTGCATGTGCATAAACAAAAAAACAAGTAAATGAATAAAAAAACTTTACAGAGGGTCACAG